TTTCATTATACCAAATACACAAAATAATGTTCTTTTTAGCAACATCATATGACCCCTTTAAAAAGCGATTTAAAATGTGCACTTAAAAATATTTATGAATGTAATTTTTATTGTTTTATTAATCCACGTTTTAAAACATGAATTAAATAAACAGTTTTAAATTTGTCTATTTATTTATTTGTTAAAAAAGATTTTTTAAATTTATTGTTTTATTGTTTTATTAAACTACATTTAAAAACACGAATTAAATAAACATCTTTAAGTATGTCTATTAATTTGTCCATTTAAAAAGTGATATACAGGTGCATCTCAATAAATTAGAATGTCGTGGAAAAGTTTTATTTATTTCAGTAATTCAACTCAAATTGTGAAACTTGTGTATTAAATAAATTCAATGCACACAGACTGAAGTAGAGTTTGTGGCACTGCTGAGGTGGTATGGAAGCCCAGGTTTCTTTGACAGTGGCCTTCAGCTCATCTCAGCTTCAGCTCTTGTTTCTCATTTTCCTCTTGACAATACTCAATAGAGAATCTATGGGGTTCAGGTCTGGTGAGTTAAAATCATGAACAATGAAATAAGGAGCAGTTGGGTTAGGAGGGGGTAATTGTACTTACAATGACTGTTAGTCAGATGGAATATAGCTCACAAACTGCTTTAAAGTGTTGTGTTAACCTTTAAACTCCTAGGTCAGCCTTTTATTCTCAGACTGACCTCTTCCTTGTTATGTTAAAAGGTGTAAAGTAAAGGAATGTACAGGAAGCTCACTCAGGAAACAGGAAAGATGTTTGCACACTCCTGCACAATGCAGTTATTAGTAGCTTGAAGAGGTTGTTGGGAGGTTTATGCTCAGAAGTATTGTCGCGGTAATACAGAAAATAGCTGGAGCTGCATTATTATATTTTAAAAAGGTATGTGCATTTTTAAAGATACCTTTCTGGATTTTCTAAAGAATTTTAGCAAATGAACATATTTTGTTACCTCAGAGAAGTTACATGAACAGTCGGTACTCTGATCTTTCTCATGTATTCTTTATTGACATTTACAGTGGTTACCCACTGGGAGTGTCACTCGGTACTACTTGGTGAAAAACATAACATTATAAAATGCAACTTGTCTTCAAGACTATTGCTATCTTACATTTCATGTATACACAGACAAAAATGGAAACAACTGTCATTTATTTCAATTAATTTTTAAAGTGGTCTAATCAATTATTATGATTATTATTATTTATGTAATTTTTATAGTACATAACAGAAATATGATGCATATTTTTTTTTCCAAAAATTGTCTTTATAGTTAGTGAACTAAACATTGATTAACAAAAGGTTTTTAGTTTTATATTTAAGTAATATTTTGGCTTATATTTAAAGAAAATATATTTATTAAGTACAGATTTACTCAATCATATTATTTATTATTACATGACAAAATTGTGTTTCTATTCTAAAATTTATATGGTTGCTTTTAATAATGTAATTTTCTATGTGCAGTCTACTAGATTATAATCAAGCGCTCAAAAATAATTTTTAATGTTGACATAAATTGTAGTTCCCAACATGCTTTGCATGGGACTTAACAGGGATGCATTTTGAAATTACAGTGTTACACGGAGTTACCATTGTGGTGAAGAGTGGGTACGTAAACAATGTTTTCCACTACCAAAACAGTCATGCTGGATGATGTTGCATGCAGCATAACGCTCCCCACGGCATCTCCAGACTCACATGTCACATGTGCTCAGTGTGAACCTGCTCTTATCCGTGAAGAGAATGTGACACCAATGATGGACCTGCCCAGAGGCGTCATGCCCATTCAAACCGAGGGGGCACGTGCCTCCTCAAATTTTCGAGCCAAGTGGATTTGGAATGCAGCTTCCTAAAGCAAAAATAGCCAAATAATATATTTTTTTATATTTGATACAATCACAAGGGTGTGATGTGCGGCACATCACAAGCTGCTAAATTCAAATCTGCATTCGCTGGCTGGTGCTGAGCCAGAGACAGATGCGTTTTTACAGCGCTGCTCATTATAACCAATAACACATGATTCTGTTAAGCTTATGAATGCAATCACCAATCAGAGGCGTTCAGATGAGTCATCGCTGTAACACCGGAGTTTTGTTCAGGCGTGCGTCGCTGACTGAATTCAGATCTCTGGCGAATTAATTCTGTCATCAGAAACAACGAAGTGCAGATGTGCGTACGATGTAAGAAAGATATGCATTTCACAGTGTAAGCAGCTTCAGTGATTATAATGCGAATTTTTGAGAGTGCTTGAACTCTGGCTAGATAATGATAATGTTCTATGATAATGTAAATGTTCTTTGCTCTCTTTCTGTACAATGAAAGTGTTATAATTAGTAACTATCAATGATTTTATTAAATTCACGTTAAATAAAAAAAGTAAATCGTATTAAAAATATTTTATGGCATGACACCCATATCTGGTAGGCCTACTTAAGTAAAAAGTGTAGTTAATAGATTACACTAATGCTAGTCTACTTTGCCCATCGCCCGGTATAGATCAACTAACATGATCTATAAAGGTGCAAAATGCATTTACTACACATATTTGAGAATCACGATATTTCGAGATACCCCCCCCATTCACTTGTGCCCCCTCAAAAATAATAAGTGCATGACGGCCCTGGACCTGCCAATTCTGATGTTTTCTGGCCATGGAGTTGCATGGCGCTGGGCTGTGAGCACAGGTCCCATTACAGGATATCCGGCCTACATGCCACCTTCATGGATTCTGTTTCTGACAGTTTGGTCAGAAACATGCACACAAGTAGCCTGCTGGAAGTCATTTTGGGGGCTCTGGCAGTGCTTCTTTTCCTCCTTGCACAAAGAAGCAGATACCAGTCCTGCTGCTGGGTTGTTATGGTCCTGTCCATCTATCCTCATGTAAATTCAGTTAGAATAATAAGACACCACAGGGATGTTACAAATAAAATAAAATCAATATCAACAACATCCATCTTAGCACTGCAGAGGTAGCACAGTGTAACACAGGAGACTTGTGAGGATCCATGAGCAAGGAGGTTTAATGGACAAAGACAAAAACAGGGTCAAAACAGGCAGGGGTCAAATACTGTGCATGAAAACAGTCCAGGCAAACAAGTCTGAAACAGTAGGCAGAGTCAAAAACAGGCAAACAGCAAGGACCCTACCACAGAGGGGAATATCCAGTAAATAATGTACATAATTGCCAAAAAGAGGGCTATATATACACAGACTGACTGATGAGGTGTGCAGAACAGGTGTGGAGGGAACCAGATATTAATATTTTGGTGCTGGTTCCCTCGTGTAGTGGGAGAAGGAAATAGCATGTGTAGCACCAGATATAATACAGAAGTGTTTAATGCAGCTCTGAGGTGGCATGTGTAATGTTGCAGGAACAGGAGAAAACAGGCAGACACAAGGATCTATATCCAGGGAGTTGAATAAAGTAACAAAATAAACAAAGAACAAGAAATGCAGAGCAGTAAACAAAATACGGGTATAACGGCAACCATTACTATCAACAACTGACAAAGAAACAAGTGAAACACAAGGGCTATATATACAAAGAGGAGAACAACGGGCTAACAAGCAACAGGTGAGGCTAATTAATTACCATAGAAACTAACAAGGGTAACCATGACAACAAAAGAGGCAAGCAGGGAATAATGTCTCAGGTTACCCATGTAACCATGGTTCCCTGAGAAGGGAATGAGACACTGCGTCCTCTGGTGGTCCTATGGGGAATGACTTCAGCATGACCTGTGTCTGAAGCAAATGTCTAAACACGACAATAACATTGGCCGGCGACAGCCTATGATTTTAGCCACAGTATAAAAAGGGCGCAGAGAGAACACATAATCGGTTTCTTCATTTGAAGCTTGCGTCCGAGGCATGGAAAGAAAAGATTCAAGATTTTCAAGATTCAAGATTTTTCAAAATCCATAGAAGTTACAATTATTTTATAAATAAATAGTAAACAAAAAAATTAAATATAACAATATTTTAAAATAAAATTGTATACAATATTGTATAAAAGTTTGGAGTATGATCCCTTTCGAGGGAACTTGAACTGCATCCTCTAGAGGTCGCTATGGGGAACGCCTTCGGCGTGACCAGTGTCTGAAGCAAATGTCTAAACACGACAATAACATTGGCCGGCGACAGCCTATGATTTTAGCCACAGTATAAAAAGGGCGCAGAGAGAACACATAATCGGTTTCTTCATTTGAAGCTTGCGTCCGAGGCATGGAAAGAAAAGATTCAAGATTTTCAAGATTCAAGATTTTTATTTGTCACATACATGGTTATATAGAGAATATATGACCAGCAGTGAAATGTAAGTCAGGTCCGCTCCATGGACAGTGCAATTATTAAAGAATACAAACACAAGAAAATTATATATAAATACAGGTATGGAAAAAGTAAGATAAAAGAATAAGAATAAAATAAAATGCGCAGGACAGTATACTGTAGACTTAATAAATATTAAGATGAGCAGGAATGTACAAGAGAAGAATGTGCAAACAGGTTGTACAGGGTAGTTACATAGCAGCAATAGAGGTAAAAAAGTAAAATAACAACTTGTTGTTAAAAAAAATAAAATATTACAGAAATTGCTGTGTGCAAGTGACAATGTCAATATATTTTAAGTATCTTACTGATAATTAAGTGAAGTCATGTTGGTGTTAAGAGACTGAGTTTGAGTTTAGGAGCCTGATGGCCTGGGGGAAGAAGCTCCTCCTAAGTCTCTCGGTTTTTGCCATCAGGCTACGGAAGCGCTTACCAGATGGCAGCAAAATGAAAAGACAGTTACCAGGGTGGTTGGAGTCCTTGATGATTTTAAGAGCTCTGCTTTTGCAGCGTTTGAGGTAGATGTCCTGTAGAGAGGGGAGAGCAGACCTCGAGATGCGCTCGGCTAAGTGCACAACTCTCTGCAGGGCTTTGCAGTCTTGACTGGAGTTGTTTCCATACCACACTGAGATACACTGAGTCAGTACATGTGGAGCTGTGGGAAGACACGCAGTCATGTGTGTAGAGAGAGTAGAGCAGAGGACTCAGGACACAGCCCTGTGGAGCTCCCACGTTCAGGGTGATGGAGCTGGAGGTGAACTGGCCTACTTTCACCACTTGAGGTATACCAGTGAGGAAATCTAGAATCCAGAATCTAGAAAGAGGACGTACTGTCTCGTTCCCTTTTCAGGGAATCATGGTTACATGCGTAACCTGAGACATTCCCTTTCGTGGGACCTCGAACTGTGTCCTCTAGCGATCACTATGGGGAACGAAATTCCCACACTCATGCTGAGTGGAGTGCATGCCAAGCACCAAGGTGAATACTAACTCTACCGCATAGCCATAGAAGTTGCCCCATGGACGCCTCAGTGGCTGTCAGTGACGATATCCCTTTCGGCCAAAGGCCCAAGCTACATACCCAAAGTAACTTACCTGTAAAAGGCTGAACAAAGAAAGCCCGGTCCCAGGGCAGAGCTCAATGCCTTTGAATCAGATAACAATGTGGGGATATGGCGGGGCGTATAGGTTCTCCATATTACCAGACCCTGGCTTGTCACCTAAGGGGACTTCATACATCAACCACTAATTCTCCCAGGGAGGCTACTAAGATAGCCAATCTACCTGTCTGCCAGAGGCAGAGTCTCAAAAACTGATGCGAGTAAGGGAATTGCAAGGAACCGGCACTATACACCTCCACTGTACCTGAGAAGGAGACTTCCCATAGGATCTCTTTCTCCAGATCCCTCGAGCTGGCAGGCGTATACCCCTGCAGCCCAGTCAGATGGGAAACATTTCTTATAGTATCACTAAGGATACATGTCTAGAGTGTGACCCAAGGTGAGAACTGGGGTCTGACCAACTCTGAAAAAGGGTATGATGCTGGCCGC